CCATCTAGATCATCCCTGACAGGTGTCTGTCCAACCTGCTCTTAAATGTCTCTAGTAATGGAGATTCCACAATTCCACAGCAATTTATTCCAGTGTTTAATCACCCTGACAGATACGAAGGGTTTTTCTCCTAATTTTCAACCCAAACCTCCCTTTCTCCAGTCTAATCTCATTGCTTTTTGTTCTATCTAAAGAGGCCAAGGAGCACAATTTTTCACTCTTCGTTGTCACATACTTTTAGTGACTTGAAATTGTCCTCTTTAATTCTTCTCTTTTCCAAACCAAATAAATGCAATTCTTTCATGTTTTCTAGTCCTTTAATCATTTTGATGCTGTTATCTGCACTCTCTCCAATTTCCCCCCATCTTTCTTCAAATGTGGTGCCCAGAGTAGTTCAGAAATATTGTTAAGTGTTATTTTCCTACATAAAATCATAGTGTAGTTGCTCTGGGGATGTTAGGAGATCATGACAAAGAGAAAGTGGTCAGTAAGACAAACGACCGTTTCTCCAATTTGTCCTGATCATTTTGAATTATGACCCATCCTCCAAAGCACTTGCAACCCCTCCCAGCTTGAGATCCTCTGCAAACTTACTAAGCGTCCTCTCTATGCCAATATCTAAATCGTGGATGAAGATATTGAACAGAACCGGCCCCAAAACAGACCCCTGCGGAACCCCACTTGTTCTGCCCTGGCAGCAGGCTTGTGAACTGTTAATGACGACTCTCTAAGAACGGTTCTCCAGCCAGTTATGCACCCACCGTGCAGCAGGCTCCTCCAACCAAGCATAGCCAGGGCTGCTGAACGTGAACCCCCAGCTACTCTAGGGCTGGGGCGCCCCAATGCAGGGTCCCCAGGAAGCAGCCACACCCAGGGAGAAGGCTGGAGCCATGCCAGCAGAGAGGGCGGAGGCTGAGTTTGGGCACCAGCCCACAGCGGGAATCTCTCCAAGGTGCATTCTCGGGCCCCTGAGCCAAAGAGAGGCAGGCAGGCAGGGGATTTCCCAGAATAGATGGTCTAATGGAGCCGGCTCCTTTCCCATTTGCCAACAAGGTCACCGATCGATACGGCCGCCTTGAATATTCCTATGCAGAGGCCACGGGTGGCAGGTAACCCCGCCGGAGAGCCGGGCAGACCAGCACACAGGTCCAGGAGGACAGACAGGCAGAGACTACGCTAACAGCTGGGACAGACGGACGGACGAGCAGAGGTAATGCGTGTCCCCGGACCCACTTCCCTCGGCGAAAGGGGCCAAGCTTCCGAACATAGACAGAGCTCCATGTGGCTCGGGAGTGTCTCTCTCCCCAACAGACATTGGTCCTGAGGATTTAACGCGTTCGGTATTTAACGCCTTCTCAGGACGGCGGGGCTGACTGAGGTTTATTTTCTAGGGCCCAGCTATGGCTCTGGCCCCGTTACAAGAGCCCAACGGGCATTACGAACGGCAGCAGCATGTGCATGCAGGATCCCAGCCCCCAGAGCCCGGCGCCTACAAGCCGACCTTGATTTTTAGACTCCCTCAGCACCTGTTTAGGCACCTCCCTCTAGGGCAGAGGTGCAGCAGCTCCTGGTGGGACACAACAGCGAGATTTTCACCAGACCTCAGCACCCAGGGCTCATGGCCCCTCTGAAAACCTGGCTCCATCTTGCAGTGCATGACTGGGAGCAGTCTCTATGGAAAGCTTGCTTCATAATAACCAACCTCTCCCTGCACTGGCTGCTTTCGGCTGCCCACCAATGTGCTCCCCCAAAGGTCCATGCCCCATGTGCCTGGAGAAAACAAAGTGACTTCCAGCATGTCTGGCTGGTTGGCAAAAGAGGCTGTGAGGGGCAGAGTTAAGGGGATCTCGCAGATTCCCCTTTCTGTTTACATCAAGAGAACCTAGGATCCTCATTTTAGGGTCTCTTCTGCGTTCACTGTAGGGAGTGCTGGGAAGAGATGGGCTCTCAGATCACTGAGGGCTTTACGCTACCCCTCCCGCACCCCAGCAAAAATGGTCTTGTTGGTTCCTTCTCTTGGTATTGTCTAAATCCTGGATCGTGAGTTCCCTAGGGCAGGGGCTTCCCAAGTATTTGTACAGGTGCTATTGGGTCCTTAGTGCTATTGGGCTAGAAATAATAATATTGGGGCCACTTTCTGACACAGCTACCCTGCTCTTGCTGCAGTGTCTCACAGCCGCCAAGCAGTAGCAGCATTGTGGGGTCCTACAGGTCAGCTTCCCAGTGGAGGAGAGATCAGTGATGAGGAATTTGAGTATCTCCTAGTGTGACTTGGTTTATTCACACCTGAACCCCAGCCCTGGAACAGAGGGGGCTGTGACGTGCGTTGGGGTTTTCCCGTCTCCTGCACCCCCGTAATGGCACGGACAGACTCCACCAGCCCGTAGAATAGAGGGAGTTTATTGCTTCTCCAGGATACAGCACAGCACAGATGTAATCTGGTTACAGGGCAGGCCTAGGATGCCTCAGCCACCCTTGAGATGGGGGAGACTGGGCCCCTAAATCCAAGCCCATTGCCTAGGCTGTTTCTTCCATGATACCAGCCAGAAACCAAAAACTAACTCACTCCCAGGGCTCCACTCCCCTTTTTCCCATTGTTCCGCTCCCTGGGAGATAACTGGTCAGACAGGTTCTTAGCCCCCTTGCATAATGACTCATCCCCTGCCCTGCTGGGCCGTGCTGCAGACAGCAGCCAGTGGAGGTCACTCACAACCCACTGCCCAGCATAGCAACCAGCAAGGTACCCCCACTACGTCACAGGGGTCAAATGGAAGAGAGAGCAATCCCTTCTTCCAGGAATCGCAGCCCAACACCAATACCCAGCTCCCCCGAGAAACTCTGCCTCAAGATGTGACTCCAATCATAGCCCACGGCCAAGAGCCAAGTCTCCCACCACTCACATAGTTCCCTGTACACAGAACCTCGAACCACATAAAAGTAACTTTAGCATTCTTCCCAACACTAAAAACTGGCTCGCACATTCAGAAAACTAACTTAGCAGATGTGTAACGGCGCCACCCCTATGCTGCAAAAGGGGAAGGAGAGGCCCAGAGAAGCCCTGTGACTTGTCTAAGGTCAGTGAGGGTACGTGTACACTAGCCCCCTAGATCGATCTGGGAGTCTAATGAGGGCGACTGGAATTGAAAATCAAGCAAATCAATTTAAATATCCTGCGCTTGATTTGCATGTTCCTAGCCGGTCGCCATTTTAGAAATTGACTAGCCTGAAGTAACTGCACACGGCTACACGTGGCAGTGAAAGGGGATTCCAGAATAAAGCCCTAAATCGAATTAGGTGGTATTCCTCGTGGAATGAGGTTTACCGCCTAATTCGATTTCGGGGCTTTATTCCGGAATCCCGTTTCACTGCTGCGTGTAGACGTGGGCAGTTACTTCAGGCTAGTCAATTTCTAAAATGGCGACCGGCTAGGAACATGCAAATCAAGCGCAGGATATTTAAATTGATTTGCTTGATTTTCAATTCCAGTCGCCCTCATTAGACTCCCAGATCGATCTAGGGGGCTAGTGTAGACGTACCCTGACAGAGCAGGGATTCGAAGTGCTGCAGTTTCCAGCCCTGAGTTCAGAGCCCTGTCACACATGGCTTGTGAGACCAGACCGGAGGGGAAGCCCAGCTCAGAAGCCCAGCAGCGTCTGCTCAATTCCAGTTGTCTCCCACTGGGAGATCAGGCGGCTCCATGCCAGTGTTCAAACACTCCACACCCGCCGGATTGGGCCTTTCCGCCTCAAATGGCTCAGAGCAGGGCAGCCTCTGTGCGTCTGATTCCTCTGGTCTTGCGACCAGGCCGCGCGGCAGTAACACAGTGTGGGAGCGAAATGGGCGTGAGCAAACGGCAGAGACGGGAGCTTGCTCCGGCCAGGAGTCCCTGCGCAGGACGGGAACTGAGGTGACTCCCTGGCGCTGCAGGGCCGGATCTCCTGCCCTCCTGTAGGCTGCAGGAAATCCAGGGCACTGGAGGAGTCAGAGGGCCCCCCCCGGCACAGCTGAGGGCAGCATCTGCTCCTTCTCCCGCCATGAGACCCAGCTGCGTGCCAAAGCAAAGCCATGCTGCGGGTGAGGGACTGACACAGCGCTGCTGTGTGCCTGGAAGAGCCAGCAGTGCTCTGGGGATGGAGGGGCATTCCAGCCCCCGGCAAGGCCAGGCCAGGCGCCGTCTCCGACGGCCAAGGGACCAGCTCAGTCCAAGCCTGTGTGGCCCACCAGCCAGGCCAGGGACAGAGCCATGCCCCTCGATGCCCACTGCTGCTAACACTGCCTGCCCCCTGCGTCAGGGCCGGGTGCCCAGCCTGGCTGCCTTTCCCCTCCACTC